CTTAGCGTTGATGCCGCTGACGCCAAATACTAAGGTGTACCGATTCTGGTAAAAGTCAATCGACAGATACCCTGCGAATCGGGTCCGCTCTAACACTCTCCACCCACAGAATTTACCCTCAACTGGGAACCTCTTGTGGCCAGGACGGGTAAGTCGATTAAGTATCACAGAGTCTTTGTAGGATCGACTCCAAAAGAGGTGCTCTCAGGACTGACACACGTTGGTGTCCTTGGGAAAAATGTCCCAAGTCAGGAGAAAATGTGCCCCCAAGGAGTTCAAACAAGTATCCTGCCGCTAACCCCAAATAAGGAGCACAAGCCGTAGATGGTAGCGTTGTCCTAGGGAACGGAAAAGGGAAATGTCTTGATGCTCTTACTCCACGGTCGTGTAGGATGGGAAAGGTGCTTGTTTTGCCGAGAGAAGGTCTGAGATGAAGTAAGGATCCAACTTCCATCCCAGGGGGCACGCATAGCGGACAATGCTGATGTGGTATGAGTACCATGGAGGTATACCTCCTGACCATCCCACATCCTATCCTAAATAAGATATACCCTGTTCATGTCAACAGCCACACTCCTTAACAACAGCCCCTCCTGCCGGGACATCCTCCCAGAACAACATGATCAGATCAAAACCCTCAAAGCAATGTTCTTCGGGTACAACAAGAAACCAAAGTCCAGACGCCAAACACCGACAAAATATATTGTAACGCCACAAACACTGCTTTACGTCGGCAGGAATCTATGGCAAGACATTCCCCCCCCATGATTGTCGATGGCAGTGCAACCAGCAGATGATGTCGCGCGACTTCCACGAATTATGCATACCTAATACTTCCAACCCATCAAAGCAAAAACAAGATGCAAGCAAAACGCCAAAACAACGGCGGAAATGAGCTGCCAGAAAAGAACAGAAGGAACACGAAAAATAGAGTACCCAACGCGGTCCGGTCAATACCGCCAGAAGTACAATACATCTTCCCTGGTAACGCCCCCCCTGCTAAACACAACAAAATGTGACGCATGCCCAAGAGAAAAACCAACAACGATAGCCACGCTGCAGCTAGAAATGGGGGCAACCAACGTAGCGCCAAATATTTTCAACGCAAACTCATGACGAATTCGCCGCGGACGCGAAAAGTTTCTTTAGACAGAGACTTTGTCAGAAATCCGTTTGTTGAAGGCCTGATCGCACCTGAATTACCATTAATGCCCCCCGCACTACACGCTCTCGGACAAAATGGTGTCGATTGTCGATGTGTTGTGATTTCGGGGTAGTAGCCGCGATATTTCTCGCAAGTGAAAAGCCCCAACAATATCCTCGTGATCTAAAGATCGTGCTTGGAGGAGGACAGCTTGTTGTCACAAGCTCGGGAAGCAAACCGTTCATCCCAAGGACGTTGATATATACATGGTAGTAGAAGAGAGAAGGGATTCGAGAGAGAGAGAGAGAGAGAGAGCGTGGAGCTCTGCTGGCGGGGTCGTCTCCCAACCGCCCTACCAACACATATCCACGGGACCCCCGAAAATCTCCGTAGATCCGTATTGAATATCAAGTGCCCCAAACGGCTGAGTGTGTTGTGGGGCACCTGAGTCTGTCGGAGTCAATAGGGAGTTGTCCAAACATTTGTGAGAACCGCTGGTAATCACGGAGGTTGAAGGAAGGATAGGGGTGAAAAAATACAAGGGGTTTAGTCCATCCAGATGCCCAATCTCCGGTGGTGGCGCTGTACGCAAGATCATCAGCCAATTCGGGGATAATTTACATCGTGTTTTTGAGGCTACAAGTATGAATCTATCTCCGAACGAAAAGGAGCTTGCCTGTGCTTGGAGCCCTTCGAAGTGCTGCGGCTAGTGTGAGGCCCACCGTGCACCGAGGCAGCGATGCTGTCGTTGCTGAACCTGCTGCTGGACCTGCGGCTGCGATGGTGGCCACGGGACCGTGATAACTCCACCTCCAGGGGCTGCGGCCGCAGTTGCAGTGAGGTGGGGTGTGTTCCGTAGCGCGGGTGTTTCCTCCGCTACGACTGTGGGGTTTGTCTGCACGTTGGAGATCGTCTCCTTGGCGGTCGGTGTTGCGGGCCATGCGGCTCTTGGGAACTCGGCGATGTTCACCACACGTTTCTTCTTGGGGCGTCCGGAGGAGTCGCGTCGGATGCGTTTGTCACTCTTCCGTCCTGCCTCACCGCCCGAGAAGGTCGTTGTGAAGGACTGGCGGGCCCCGCGGGCTGCGCTGGGCGAACCGGTTGAGCTAGCGCTCCCTCTTTTCACGGCCGGGAGCGGAGCTGGAGCCCCGTCTCCCACGGTCGGAAGCGGAGCCACGTCGTCCCCTACGAGAATCCCGTCGTCCTCGGGACGAAGCTAATTTGGCATCAGCGGCCGCGTGGGTTTCGGCGACAGCCGTACGGAATGAAAGGTGGCGCCGGCGTGATATTTTGGGAAGTATGTCCCATTCGGCTCGTGTCCAAATATGACCAACCAAAAGTGAGCAGTGAGCAGCGACGGGCTCGGACGGTGCTACCAGAGTTTCTTCGTGGGTCCGAATGCCCAACGGTTGCACCGGAGGGGGTCACTCGACGGCAAAGCCGGAGTAAGAGTTGGGACAATCGATCTCAACGGCGAAGCCGGAGGGGAACTGCTTGTGGTGCCGGCGTATGCGTCGCTTCCAGCGTTGTCTGCAAAGTCCGTCATAATGTCGACCAGCGGTTTGACGGCAGGCTCAGTCGGTGTTTGCGGGAGGTGTCCGGGCGTGAGGGATGGCGGTGCGCGTAGGTGAACATCACTAGCTGAAAAAGCAGCGAGAGAGGGTACAGCGGCAATCGTCACAGGAGGAACCAACATGGACACCGGTTGTGTGCCTACAACTACCAGTATAGCAGTATTATAGTGTGGCTGTCAACACGAAAGTGGGTGCGCGAGGTCCATTTCAGGGCGGGTTGCTGGCGGCTCCACAGAGCACGCCTTCAATGACGTTGCGCGTTGCTGGCGCTCAAGTGACTTCGTCAGCGGTGTGGGCTGTGTCACCGATTTATCATTTATTGGTGGTAACTACTCTGTAATCCTGTAATCCCGCAACAAAAAAAGCATGGTCACGAGAGCAGGGGGGCATACCATCGTCGCCACAAACGTTGCGGCAGTGACCGGTGATGGGCCCAAGTTTGCATGTTCTTCCGTGGCAACTTTTTGTGTGTGCCGGGGGCAACTTGCTGTGGGTATCTCTCTCAATCACATGGACGATCCCCTCAGAGAAGCATGCCCGGACAGGTTAATCGGGCTGTCCAGGCTCGATTTCCCTTGTGCTGCTGACAGCGGAGGGAGCGTGCCCAACGGATACTTTTGAGACGGTGTTGCTCAAGTCGGCAGAACCGGAGATTGGTGCACCCAGCACGTACCAAACGCGTTCTCAACGGCACGGCCGGAGTTGCGTTGGGGATCTCCTGCTTTTCACTGTGTGGACATGTGGCCGAGCTCATTTGAGCGTGCGGACCGCGGGGAGTGTCCGCAACCGAGGAGCTCGCACAGTTTAGGGAGGGCAATCAGCCGCGGATGTGCTGCATGCCTTGTCATCGGTGGCAATTTCCATGAAGGCAGGTGGCGACATATCATGGGTTGACAGCAGCGAAGCTGGGATCGGGTGGGAATCCACAACAACAGGAGTTTTTGCGACAAATGGTCAAAATTGGTGCCGCCTCGCCAAGCGGGTTGACTTGGTCGCAGCGCGAGCTAACAGGTCTAGTTGGGCTACCAGCAGTCTCGAAGCCGGAAACGACAAGCGCGGTAGGAAACGGCGAAGTCGAAGCAGAGCTGTTTTTGACTCACTTTAATTGGCACTGGGCCTCATCTAGCTGAGCGCCGGAAGAGTGGCAGAAAGCAAGGGGGCTCGCGCTCCCCATCTCTGCCTCGTCATACCTATCAAGTCCAACAGTAATCTATGTACATGCGACACGAATACGGCAAAGGTTGTCCTGGTGACAACGCCAACCAGATCCTCGGGGCTCTTGGCTAGTATCGTCCTATGGATGGTACCTGCTTACCTAAAACAGCACCACACCATACGAGCAAAACCTTTCGAATCATGGACTACCGAGTTATCATGGACTTGTGAGTTAATTCACCACGATCAACAGCCCCAAACCTAACACGAGCAGACAAGCAATGGCCTTCGCTTCAGCGTGCACCCGCAGAGCTCCGACATGGTCCTGCACTCGCTCCAACCGGCTGTTTCCATCCGTTGACAAGGCTCTCTTCGGCCCGTTGCGCTGCGGCCGCCGCTTACCAGTAGCAATCGACCACACACGAATCAGTGAGACTTACCCGTGACGCCACTGCCAGTCGAGGTGCTGGTTCTTCCAGCAGCGGTCGCGCCCGCCGACGAGGAAGACCTCGCTCCGGCTAACTGCCTCGCTATCGCGGCCGAGTCATTTTTTATGAACTCCCTGATGTCCCCGCCGCCGGTCTTCGAGGACGATGGCTGATACATGCTGATACGAGGTTTCGATGTTGGCAGTACTGCTGGTGCTGGTGCTGGTGCTGTTGCTGTTGCTGTTGCTGGTGCCGGTGCCGGTGCTGGTGCCGGTGCCGGTGCTGGTGCCGGTGCCGGTGCTCGTGCCGGTGCTTGAGCTGCTGGCGCTGCTGGTGCTCGGGTTGGCGGGGAAGGTTGTTGTGCTGTGGTGACGCTACGGTTGTTGCCGCCGTTCTTGTTGCCGCTGCTGCGTTTGGACCCTGGGGACAAGGATGTTTGCCGTTCACTTCGCTCGGCCGCGGCGCGCTCTTCCTCTGCTTTTGGAGCGGGAGCGAGACATTTTACGGTGGACCGTCCGGTAAGAACGAGACGAGTTGTGACGCACATGTAGAACAAATGGTTCGCGTCTTGCTGCTGAGTACGCCCGGGAGCACTCTGGTGTGTACTTCTGGCGAGAAAATATGGTCCACTGCTTGCCTCCAGACGCTGCAAACGCCATAGATGAGAAAACCAGTTTTTGAGACGTACGTACCTTGTGTCTATTCGTTTTCAAACTGCAAAGCAAACAACCCTACGGCCGGACGGAGCGAGCGATCAAAAGTGCATCCCTCAAGCGACAAGAAAGTGAGGCCATGAGTGTGCTGCGGACCGTCACAAGGCGCCGCCCCCGCACCTTTCTTAACCTCGACGCGAAGTTTCTGCACCAACTCCCTTTCCTCCCTGAGGACGAAGCGCCTCCTCACCAGAATATACCTCCGTTTCTCGAGCTCGGCCTGGTTGTCGAACGAGATGAGGGAATATCGACAATGATACAAAATTCTTGTTTGATGCACACGATACAACACGCGGTAGATAAAATCTCATACGGTTGAGCTTGAAATTGGCATGTGCCATACGACTAACTTCTCTATTGGCCTCCATGGGGCCAAGAGCACGCCGATTCACGCACGCGAAGAAAACCCACGTCTACCCAGACAACACATGTACGTTAGACACACCATATGTGAAACACACGCACGAACACTGCAACGAAACACGTGTCTTGGTGCCCGCCAATAGCACACGCACAACACAGCAGGGACCGTCAGTGACGCCGTGGTATTGATGAAGAAATGGGAGGAGGGAAAGCGTAACACACTCTTGGCAGCAGCAGCAGCAACAGCACTCACGCGACCACATCAAGTCAATCGACGTGCATTTGGTTCGACAGACGCCGCACACACACATAGGATCATGACTTGGGGGACTGGTAGATTCGTTTAACCTGCTCCTACGGCGCAAGCGTCAACGTCTCGCACCATACGGCACCGCAAAGGGAGTTGCGCACACGCGTGAGAGTGGAGGGGAGGGACACACATCGTAATCTTGGAACACACGTAAAACGAGGGACCATGATGTCAGGGGCAGCAAAATTGCCTAAACGTTGGCATCAATACTCTCTGTTGTACAGGGAATTACTTTGTCAGGGTGAGTAAGGAATCAAACGTTTGTGCGTACGGCCACAGTACGTCCAACGCCATCTGCTGTTGCTGCTGTTGTTGCTGCTGCTGTTGTGCTGCTGCTGCTGCTGCTGCAGTTGTTTATCGAGGCATGCTCTTAATGTTCCAGCGCGTCCGGCGTAGATTTTCTCACCTTGTCCACGATACCCAGGTACGTGCCTTCGTCGGCCAGGGCTCGGTCCACAGCCTTTAGCTCTAAAACGGCATCGCGCACCTTCTTCGCCAGCTCTTCATCAGAGGGCGTGGTTTCGAGGACCAACCGCATGTCACCCACACGGCGGGACGACGACGAAGAAGACGAAGAAGGAGGAGGATAGGACGGGGTCGTCGCGACCCTTTTCTTCCCACTCTCCCCCAGAGTGGCAACTCTTTTCTCACCTCTCTCCCCCGGCGGGTGCGGCCTCTTCTTGTGGTACTGGGGGTGCTTGCTGCTGCTGCAGGGTTTGCCGCGCATATGGACATTGTGCGCATTCTTGCCCGGTTTCTTGCGCCTGGTCTTGTCCTTATGCTTGCCACTGTTTTTCCCCGTGCTCTCGTCCATACTCCGCTGCCGAACCGTGTCTCAAACAACGAGTGTTGAGTGAAGTCGGGAAAGCCTGCGCTCCAGTTATTGAGGTTGCTGGCGAGCTTCGCGATGGGACCCCGCTTTTCTTTCAGGCTACCTAACACGCGCACCCTAAACGAATGCTGTGTAGGGCGTGGTTGTGGCTTGAGTGACGGGTCTGCTATGGGTGCGGCGGTGATGGCCTCGTAGCACTACTACTGCTGCAGCACCTAGAGTACCACATGTGTGTTGTAGAGCTGGAAAATGTTGTAGGGGGCCCGTGCGGTCAATATGCGGCGGATTTTGATGGTTCTCGTCAAACGTTTTTGGTTCACATCCGGACCTTTGGGGATCTCGGTCAAAGTGGTACTGCTGTAGGTGTCGTGTCTTGGCAACCGGTGTGCTATGCTACAGCAGTTAACGATACGCTGACACTGGGTGTAGCGTTAAGAGGTCTTAGCGCGTACACCATGAACCGAGCGGCCGCAACGTTATTGCGCAAGGCCTCTGGGGGTCAATCGGCCTGTCTACGACGTCGCGGGAGACACCTGCCCTTGCGTAGATGTCTTGCTGCTTGGGGTTCCACCTTGCAGATAGAGCCCGGGGTCCAACGTGCGTTGGAGGAGGGACGCCCGATCGTAGCCCTTGAATCCACCATCATATCTCACGGTATGCCCTATCCGGAAAATTTAGCTATGGCCAGGTGCGTATGCGGGAGGGAGCGAGGGAGGGAGGGAGAGACAGGCACACGCAGAAAGGTAGAGAGACGTGCATGCTGCAGACATTCAGCATATACAGAGTACAGAGTAGCCGTGCACAACCAAAATCATGCCGGAGTCTTGTTTGTGTCACCACCAGCACGAAGTCGTTCTTGTTGCGATGTTGTAAGATGATCTCTCGAATAGCGACCCCCTATTTGGCTTCACGTTGTAACCAACGGAACCATTTTTTTGCCGGGGAGTACACGCAGCAGGTAGGTCAACACAGTACCGTAAGAGTCGGAGAGTTGGCACCGGGTGCGATCGTTTTTTTAAATGTTTTTCCCTCAGTTTTTTTATCGCACCCCGGTGCCATCTCCGACCGGTACCATCTCTCCGACCGGTACCATCTCTCCGACCGGTACCATCTCTCCGACCCCGGTGCAGAAATGCATTTAAATCATTTCGTTTAGAATTTTCAAGGCACCCCGGTGCGATCTGTCCGACCCGTGCGATCCCCGGTGAAATGCACACAGGTGTTGTATGCACGCACCCCGGTGCCATCTCCCTGACCGTGAATGTAGGTACTCACGCACGCACACGGTCTTCTGCACACACACGCATATATATCTGAGCAAAAAGGCGGCGAAATACACATACAACATACAGTCGTGGCTCCGTTACAAGAGGGTACCTTACAAGAGGGGGCTCCGATATCAGAGGGTCGAATCGGTTGTCACGGACTCGACTCGCTATAGTAGGGTTACCCTCTTGTACAGAGCCCGGACCCTTTATAGTGGGTCACCCCACTATCGAGGGGGTTACCGCACTATAAGGGGGCTTGTAAGTTAGGGACTGTCGCCTTTCACTCACAAAAACAAACGCACCTTCCTCGCAACAAACGCCGCAGGAAGAATAAACCAGAGAGGAGCTGCCAAGGAATAGTGAGTGGTGTTTTGGTGAAACTGGTGGCAAATGCAAGGAGGATGATGAAAAGATTATGAAAGCACTCCGAAACGAACACATGTGCAAAGTAGCAGCCTTGGGTAAACACGTGCAGCTCTCTTCTATTTTATTGCTACCGTCTATCTTTAATCTGGAGAGTAGCTTAGCCCCCCCCATTGCACCCCCTCATGGGGTCACAGACCTTGGCCTTTCGAAGCACTTTCTGTGTTAGCCGCACTGAGACTGACGTGTTTCCGTTGGTTAGCTGGTTAGCGCGGTCGATGCAAATAATAAAGGTACAATAAAACACACACGAACACACACATCGCGGCGCTAAGTAGAAGCAGGGGGCTGTTTGTGCTAGGTTAGAATTTCGTTCCTTTAGCATACGGTTGAACACCTGCAGCGCAGACAGTCAAGTTCTCCTCTAAATAAATGTGGGCGATGTGTGTATGTTGGTGTGCGCCAGGGGCCAGGGGGGGGTAGATAGACCGTGTGTTGGTGCAATACAACACTTACTTATACCGTGTGTACATGAAGTTTCTCATGGTCGGAGAGGTGTCCAGGAATTCTAGCATGTCGTTCAACTCTGTAGACTAAGCGTTTTAAATGCATGCATGAACATGCACTTTACCTCCTTGTCAAATGGCTGCGTCAACTTGGCTGCGAGGCAATTATTCTCTGGAGATGTTTCCACTCCATGAACTAAATACAAAACGGAAAGCGTTGGAAAGCGTTGCCGATACGATCACAATCACCCGGCTTGCTTTGGGCGTGTGAATTCGGGCAATCAGCCCACCACACGTGCGTACACTCCACCACGCTTACATGCTTACACAACCTACACGGCATTGGTACGCTGTGCCGTAGTCAAAGTGCCTTTGCTGCTCGAGATTTCCCGGTTTTCCCTCTATAAGAGGGTACCCTATGGAGCACCCTCATACAAGAGGGTAACCCTCTTATACCGATACAAGAGGGTGGAGAGCCGTTGTCACACCACCCTCTTATAACGAAGCCACGACTGTACCCCGAAAAAAGCGGCGAACTAGCGCATCTGAGTTGGTACCAGTGCACACGGTATCAATTGGTTCCCCCTTTCGTTTGGGTCTTCTTCTACGGATACCAGTACGTACGCAGAAGTACAATAGCTTCGGGTTGTGTAAGGTAGGGTAGGGTGCGGCTTGTACGTTGTGTGCTTGGTTGAGTGTACGGTTGGCAACGCAACTTCCACACCAATAAAAATATGAAAACAACTGGCATACCGCGTGAACCGCGACCATCCAATCATATGTAAAGGAGTGGCGCTCCGCTGACTCCGTCCCCACGTGTAAAAGGTACGCACATGCACCTCATTCCGGCAGCTGAAAAGGAGTTCCATCTTGGATGTGGGGGTCGGAGAGATCGCACCGGGTGCGATTCCTCCGACCCCGGTGCGTAAATCGAATTAAATGTCTTTTTCTCGGGCTTTTTATCGCACCCTGGTGCCATCTGTCCGACCGGTGCCATCTCTCCGGCCCGTGCCAACTCTCCGACTCTTACGGTAGTACAGTAGTGTTCCTTCTCTACCCACGCCCCACCATCAAACCTCACAAACAGGGGGGTCGAGGATATCATCAGGGAGAGAGGGGCAGTCCCCGCTACGGTGGCCGTCTTGCAGGGTCGCCCGCACGTTGGGCTCACGGCGTCTCAACTGGAGTCTCTTGCTGAGGCCGGGCCTCGCGCGAGGAAGTGCTCCCGGCGCGACCTCGCCGTTGCCCTCGCCCAGGTGCGCGGATGGGAGTCAATAAATCACGAACGTCTGCACCAATCGCACATGCATGCAGTCTTGTCGGCACGGGCACAAGCTGATGTAGGTAGACAACCTGGTTATTTTGAGCGAGTACTCGTGAAAATGAGGCATGGGTTCTTTCAGCGATCGTTTTAGGAGCGACCCTACACCAAAGGCAAGTACTCTTTATCAGCGTGTTGTGTACGATCACACCAACCCCTCCTGTGTGCCTTCCTTGCTCTCACGTCCGATTTTTTGTCTCACTACATTGCCAATGTTCTTTGTTCTCGCGCCTCTCTTGACGAAGGGGGTCGACGGGGCGACGACCGTGGCCGCCACGTCCTACCTCGCGTCCCTGGCTGGCGTCAAGGTGTTCGTGACGGGAGGGATGGGGGGCGTCCACAGGGGGGCGGAGACGACGTTCGACGTGTCGGCCGACCTTGCCGAGCTAGCGCAGACGCCGATCGTCGTCGTGTGCGCCGGGGTGAAATCCATCCTCGATATCGAGAAGACTCTCGAGGTGAGTTGCGTTGAGGTTTGTTTTAAGGATTTTGTTGGCTTGCTGGGGAGCGACGCACTCTCGTGTGGTATCTCGCTCGCTGTGTAGGTATCACGGGCACGTCGCGTGGGGAACAGGGTTGGTGTGATCGCCCGTGGTACTGTCCCGACTTCCTCGCAGATGAAGGAAATGGATTTTTTCCGTTTCATGCCGATGTCCCAAACATACAAGGTAGGCCCAAAGCAACCTACTACCTAGCTGACGCCGTCGAACGAAAATGCTCCCTTGTTGTCCCGCATCCGGAGCAGTCGGACAAGGTGTATCACACCCCGTCCCTCTCTACTCTCTACTTGGTCACCGAGAGGTTTGTTTTCTGTGCAGAGGATCGCTGTGCCCGCCTGTTCCGGCGGTATACCATCGACAGCAGCTTCTCGTCAACTTCTGTCGTTGCGTGAAAACCAGGTGCTAGAGACGAACGGGGTCCCCGTGGTCTCTTTAGGCACCGATGACTTTCCAGCTTTTTTCAGCCCGTCCAGCGGGGTGCCGTCCCCGCTTAGGCTGGATACGCCTTCTGAGGTGGCGGCCGCGGCAAAGGTGGGCGTGAAAGGGGCGATGGTTAGTTCTGTGGCGTTACATGAACATGTGGTTTCTTGTTGCGCGCTCCGTTTTGTGAGTGCGCGGGGGTTAGGTATTTAACATATGCCACAGCAGCGAATCTTCAGTGGCATTGCGGGTTTTGGTTTATATCAAGGCGGCTTTAGTAGGTCTGCCACCAACACGAAAGTACAGACGGGTCTTGTTCATACCTTCCCGACACCTGCCCTCAACACACACCGCAAACACGGCGTTGATGCTATCGCTCTTTGGGCCACGACTGGTGAAAAAATATTTTTAGACTAACACGATTAGCGTCGCTCCGCACGCCTTGTCGACTCCATTGATCCTCGGGTCGCGATTGCAAAGAACCTCACAGGTCTTTGCGCTCAAAGAAGCTGAGTTTTGTTGTGCATCCGTGTCCCTTACCCTCTGTCTCGCCGACCCTTTTTCATCCCCGCGAGAAAGGCCGGGTTTGACCTCGGCATGCGCAACGGCATGGTTGTCGCCGTACCCAACCCTGCCCCGATGTCCGGAGGGGCCGGCATAGACGCAGCGATTCACGAGGCTCTGGAACAGGCGGAAGCGAGGGGGCTCAAGGGCCGCGACATCACCCCCTTCGTGCTTGCGAGCGTGAATGAGACCACCGGAGGGCACTCGCTGAAGAGCAACGTCGCTTTGGTGAGGAGAAAACGAGCACAGCACACGAGGGCAGCGTGCTACCGGGCTGCTGCGCTGCGAATTGTGGTAGACTGTGCGCGGTCTGGGCATACCTAGGCTGGTTAGGTTGGCCAGAGAGTACGGCGAGCTACGGGTTGTCGTACAACATGACAGGTTACCAGGGAAAGTTTGATTGGACAGGCTTTGTAATGGACAGAACGCAGAACCCCGTTGAGTGTGTGTGCACGAGGAGAGACATCGATAGACGTCGTTCTCAAGTTCAGGACCACGTGGACCACGTGGAAGCATGCCAGTAAACAAGAACCCAAAAGCTGTTTGCGTCGAAAACTACCGTCCGCACCCACAGATCCGCCCTTGACAATTGCTCACTCCATGTGCAATCTCGTGCTCTCTTCGTTTTGCGATCGAATTGTGCCGAACGCCAAGAACATAACCCGAACAACGGCGTCATTTCGTTTTCCAAGGTTCGACATAACGCCAAGGTTGGAGCCGACATCGCGGTGCAACTCGCCGCATTGACAGGCAGACCTACTGCCCCGGAGGCTTTCCTCGCCAGGCCGACGCCAACAGCAGCGCCGCCGCTCCGCGTGGCCGTCTTCGGCGGGGCCGTGGCCGACATCGTCTCGAAACCTCCCACGGGGACCGCGCTTACGCCCGGAACGTCTACCCCGGGAGAGACGCGGCAGAGCTTCGGTGGCGTGGGACGCAACGTGGCCGAGGGCGTCGCGAGGGTCTTGCTGGCGCGAAGGGGCGACAACGTCGCAATGGGCATTGACAGCAGCAGCGACGGCAGTGGCGCTGTCGTCACTCTCGCTTCCGTGGTGGGCGCGGACGAGCCGGGCAAGGGGCTCGTGGCGGGTTGCGAAGAGGCCGGAGTTAACGCGGAAGCGACGGTGGAGGTGGGGTGTTCGAGCGGTGCAGGCGACGATGGCGGCAGCGACAAAGCAGGGACTGCGAGCTACGTGGCCGTTCTTGGAGGCGACGGTGATTTGGTGGCAGCAGTAGCTGACATGCGCGTTTTGGAGAGGATGACAGCGGTGAGTGTCTCTGAGAAAGTAAGTTACTTTGGGCCGCTTGAACTTTCGTGCAATTGCCTCTTTTCGACGTGTCCGGTGCTTCGGAACATGTTTCTTCAGCGGCAGCGAATGGTTTCTCACGCTTCCTTCTCAGGGGCATGCAAGGGGCTCGTCGGTAAATTCTTGGGCACGCCCAGAGCTCGCCAGGCATCAGTGACATGAGGGCCCATCGCTACTGTCGCGCGCACACGCTAAGACACCTCGAGAAATAGACCAATTCCCCGCACATCTGGTATTTTAAGCAGAAGCCAGCTCCACCGAATGTTGAGATGCAGCATATACCGTGATAACACCGAGAATGCCGCCCCCGGGGGGTATGTCACCAATCCTCCGATTGGAGTTAAGTTTATGTCATGTTCGCCGTTATAGTGTGGATTGGAGGAGCTTTGTAACCTACCTCTTAGTAGTGATTGGCAAGTACGTCGCCGCAAACGAACGCTAACGCAAAGGCTGTGCCAAGCGGGGTCGTGAAATCACCGCGGTGGGTGCCAGAGAGCTTGGGAATCGCCAATGAGGGGCTCGAGTTTTCGTGATTATTCTTTTGAAATCGATTGATGCTCAAACAAGGCGTACCCTACCTTTCACAATGGCCCCCTTTCACGTATAGGCCGCACGATTCCGTCGCTGCGTATACAGGACTTCGTGGAGAGACACGCCAGCATTATCGACGGAGCGTCAGTGGTTATCGCCGATGGAAACCTTCCGCCGGAAGGGTTTGCGCGGGTATCGGGGCTGTGCGCGGAAAGGAACGTTCCCCTCGTGTTTGAACCCACCTCGGTTGCGAAGTGCTCCGTCCCCTTCTCGGCTGAGGTAAACCGCACACAGCAGTGTAGGTGCTCCGCTCAAGAACGTTAGCAAAGTTGCTATGCATAGCTGTTATCTCGTTGTTCATGGTATGTAAGGCTACCTAGCTAGCTGGGCTGTTTTCCATCTTTGTGAGAAACGGGTGGTAGTGCTCGTTCGTCCTTGTGGCGCGGCAGAGACACGACGGCGTGGCCGCATCCAGTGTCGGGTCACGCCTACCCCGGACGGTTAAAAGGGCGTGCAGCAACCTTCAGCTCGGTGAGATAAACACGGCACGTCTCCCCCCCCCCCTTCCCTTCTTGTATACCCAAACAAGGCTGTAGGAGGAATTGCCTTGAGCACACCAAACCTGGACGAGCTCGCAGCCATGTCTTCGGCTGCTTTGGGCTGGCGGAAGGCGGGAAGCGGGGGGCGGGCAGTGAGGGAAGGACACTCCCTGGCAACGGCCGCGCTAGCAGACGGAAAGCTGGTGGATGCCCGGCCGCTTGGGCCGGCACTAAAGGCGGTGCTGGAGGCTATGCTCGGCGACGTGGCGACGCCGATGGCTCTTCTCGACGGCGCGAGGCACGTGGTCGTCACCTTGGGCAGCGCCGGCGTAGTGCTAGCGTCTGCCAGGCCCTGCCAACCTCCAAACGGGGATCTGTTAAACGGAAGCGACAATGACAACCGGGGTGTGTTAGAGTCGCCACTGGGGTCCGGTCGGTGGTTTGCCTTGTCGGCAGAACACTATCCCGCACTCCCTCTCGAGCGCCCAGGACAGGCCGGCGGGGCGATGGTCGCTGATTGCACGGGGGCCGGCGACTGCTTGGTGGCGGGGTTGGTCGGCGGCCTTGCGTTGGGGTGGTCGGCGCGGGAGAGCACTTGCTTGGGTCTGGTGAGTCGGCGGTTTCGTGACCGCTCACACGTTGTGTTGGATTTATTTGTCGATGCATGTGTGGCGGCCGAAGTGATTGTGATCCTTTCGAGGGCTACCTCTCTCCGTTTGTTGCTCTGCAGGAGCATAATAACGACGATAAAGGTACTGTTGATCCTGGTACCTGGTGGTCCTGTGGTTGCGTCATGGCCGATTCACACTCTTTGATCTTATTCGCATCTGGTGGCTGTACCTCCGCCCGTCTCTCTCTCGTATGCACATGTATCCTGCGCGGACTACACCGACAGCTATGCGCTCGACAGAGCGTCTTGGCCGACAGGGCGGTTCCGGAGACACTTGGAGACATTTTCGGAAGCACAGATAACGTCTGCCCAGAGGGGGCAAGAAGTGTCCTTTCAGCCCTACCAGAGGGCTACGGGCCGAAGGAAGTCCATCCGTGGGCCGTTGCACAGCAGCAGTAGTGCTTGGTATCCATGGTTCACGTCGCCGTGTGCTCCTATTTGATATGTACCTTGTTGTCTACCTCAAAACATGCGAATCTCAAGTTATGCACCAAGGTCTGCTTGTTGTTCGAATTCCAAGATAAAATGCAGTAAATGCAGAAGTCTCGCGTCCTCCATCTGTCACGGTGGGGATCGGTTGCCACGCAGCATGATGTGCTACCCAGGGCACTCGTATTCAAAACGTTGTGTTTCTCCTCTGGTGTTCTTGGGTTAATACAAGGAACAGGGGCGTCGCAGTCTGCTTTTGAAGCGCTGATTCCCGTATCAGCGTGTATTCTTGATGGGAAACCCTGCAGTAGTATGTTGCCTACCATTGGTCAAAACCAAACCAAGAACCGGGGAATGCTTCAGGGTAGCACCATCTGATGGATTTGGCGTGCGCTGTGCCCTTTGCCTTACCATTTCGCCCACAACGCACCAATGCTTTAGCAAAGATGTTCCCATCGGACGACTGTTGCGCCTAGGCCAAGCGGTGCAGCAGGACCAAGGGGTCAGCCGTATTTCGCTGTCGACGATGTGATGTTTCAACTGGCGGGTATATGGAGGCGTGAACAGCAAGCCGGCGGTTCACATTGCCGTAGAATCAGCATAGAATTCACAGGCAGTTCGGGTGGCGGTACAGTCTAAACAATGGTTGTATCGACAAGGTATTTCATGATGAAATAGAAATTTTCATCGCCGCCGTTGGATCGAAGTTTCCGCCCAAAATCTTGTCAACAGCTGAATCTTGGAATCGTTTTCCTGGCCTCGCAGCTTCCATGGGCCACGCCAACAAGCGATTGTAGACATCATTACGGTTGTTGCCACGTGTCAACGTACCGACATCGTGCTCGCGAAGGAGAAATAACACTGGAGGAGCAACGTTGGGGGGAAACGATGGCGCTGGTGCGCTGGCGCCTGGGCGCGGGGCGCGTGGCCCTCCCAGAGGCGGAAAGCCAGAGGGTGGAACCAAAATGCGACATGCACCCTCTTGGCAACCCTTCGGGAACCGGCAGAGGTCGCACCGCGGAACCAACCACCTGAGAGAGGCGGAGACCAGGGAGAGAGGTGGAGGCAGGTGCAAGCAAATAGGACGCTAGAAGGGCGGGGTAGACACCACCCCATGAAAGAGCTCGTGTTGTTGAGTATTGCCCTATGCTGCCTTCCCCGGTCCCACCTTGCATTTCGTACGACCGGAGGACTTCATGCCGTTTTTGGCGAAGTTGGGGCAGTGAGCGCCAGCCCAAAGACATCATTGTCATGTGGCCGCTCACTGAAGCGACCGCGGACAGATATGATGGCTTCGGATTCCTTGGTGGCTGTGGAACAGCCTGTTGTCGATGAGGTGGACGGGCAGGCGACGTGGGCGAAGGACTTCGAGCTTGATTTTCACGGCAAGGTGAGGCGCTTCTCTGCGCCTGCAACAGCAGCAGTGGCGCTCGAATTTTGCTGGATTCCTGGTTGCGTTCATGAATGTTAGAATTTGCTGGACCCCTCCCTCATCCAGGGTCGTTCTGACGATACCTTGTTCGGAGCAAAGTGAGCTGTGCACCCCCATATATCCTGGACCGTGGCCGCCGAGTTTCGGGGCAATCGACCCTTGGAAAGCGCTTGAGAAAATATATTCTTCCGCTGCCGACAAAGGCCTTGCTATTTGGAGATGTTTCGTTTCCTGCAGGGACCGCAGCTTCCAAGCATGTATTTACTTTGGTTTGGTCGTTTTGACAGTGTCGAGTGCTTCCAGCTCGTGAAGTAGCTCCACTTGTCTCTCTCCCTGCCCCCCCCCTCGATTCTATCTCCTGACTTCCAGTTTCTACCTCGTCTCCACCTTCTTCCTCCCCTCTCCCCGTCTGTGGGTACCAAATGCGTGTGGCATGTTGCATGTTGATATGCTGCAACTGCTATATAGGTCATGCTGAAGGGCCTTCTCTTCTCCGAGACCCAGCAGCTCATGGAGCGCCTTGGAGAGAAGGCGGGCAGGGCGGAAGTCCTCGCCGGATGGCTTTACCACGACAGGTGCCTAGGCCAGGGAAACGCGGAAAGGGGTTGATTCGTTGGTGAACACATCGCGTAGTATTTTGCATACCGCAACATCGTAGTGCTACCCTGGAACAATCGTAGGCTTGTTCTGTTGGAAGAAGTTGGTTACAACGCCCTGTTTTGTTATTTTTCGCCCGGTGTTGTTTGGCCAGATTATCAACTTCAGAACGCCACTCTTGACGTCCGAGAGCCAGGCCGCCACTGTCACTTGCTGCAGACACTGCGGTTGTCGCTTCTGAAGTGTGCCCTACCCGAACATCCCCTCTCCTTCCCCCGTTGTTGCTGTTGCTCTTCATGATGATGATCATGTTTATGGCGTTGTTGCTGTCGGGTTCATACGGTGCCCTGCGTCCCTTGCTTACCAACCCCGTGTGAACCGCGTCAATTGCTGACCAGAGCTCATGTTGCGCCCCAGTCCTTCACAGGTAGACGAGGTAGAGACACTGCTGTCAACCATCGGGTAACGGGTCATCATCTAAACCGAAACAGTAACACAACAAATGGCTCATTCCGTGGCTTTCTTTTGTGCCCGAAGCAGCCCCCCCCCTACGTTTGTTTTACAACGGCTTGTCCGTCCTATCTAAATAGACGCCTAATCCGAGACATTGCCGAGACCGCGGGTGGCGCCGGCAGCGCGGAGCCCGGGGGCGACGCCACGAACAGCAACACCAACAGAAGCGGCAGTTTAGTGAGCTCCAAGAGCCGAATCGGGAAGAAGACAAGGGACGCCGTCCGAGAGGTCGCGACAGCTGATGGGGGCCTTGAGCTAGAGGTAGGTAGCATACACGTACATCTACATGCTCTGCGCACGATAGACCATGGACCTCCCCCCCTCGCCTTCCGGCTTAGTCCTACGCAGGGTTCTTTCTTGCTTGGCTCGTTTTGTTGGATTTCGTGTTTTTGTGGAAGAGGAGGCGTCAGGAAGAGCGAGCGGCGGTGTTCGGATCGACCTGTTGGGCATGTCGGGCCGGGGAGGCTTAGTCGAGCGTGAGGCAGAGGGAAACCCTGAAAGGCACATGCAGCCCCTTCGCGTCGGTATTAGCACTGAACAGCTTACACGTGATGGAGCGTGGGCTGCAAGCAAGCAGTGGATAGAGACAAAAGTGTTTTGAACCACAAAAATTATGCACTCCTCTGCGGAGACTTTTGCTCCTCTGTACGCCGAGAGGTCCGGTCTGTACTCGTGCGCTCGCCACTGAGGACAGGCGTGTACTTTGAACTATTAATAATGCGAGGAGTTGCCCTTTTCCCGACGACAATCTCCTTGCCTGGGCGCACCTGGGACGTGCAGGACGTGCAGCTGGCGGCAGACGGTACGCGCAAGCTGGTGTCGGTGCTCACGTCGGGGGAAGGGGCGGGGAAGAAGGTTGAGACGGTCATCATCCCCATGCTCAGGTATGTCACGAAGCGTCCAATTGGACTGGTCTACTCAGAGCCCAGACGCTTTTTCGCCCTGTGTCGCTGTGATTCCAGTACAACCCCAGGGTAGATGGGTACAGCGTTCGATGTTTCTGCCTCCAGGTGGTTGGCGTACCATTGAACCCGTTGCCGCGACTGTTCACGATTAATTCGGCTTGCTCGTTGCTGGCGAATGGTGTTCTTAATCTTCACACCGTGTGCATGTGTGCCAACGCGCCTAACCCACTGCGTATTCGCCAGCTAAAAGCGGTATTACCAGTGCGCATGCGTGCGCGTACTTACGCGTGCACACAAAGGGCTTACTTGACCGCGGTTGTTTGTCGCCGTGCGCGGCGCGCTTTTGTGTGTGCCGTGCGTGACGACGTGCGCAGAGGGCCTCAGAGGGAGCCGCGCTATACGGTGTGCGTGTCTTCCCAGGTCGGCTGCGCCATGAACTGCCAGTTCTGCTTCACGGGGAGGCTCGGGCTCATGGCCAACCTGCAGGCGGCACAGGCGGGTGACCTTCCTATTGGCAGACGCTTTACTCAGTAGGCGACCTCTTCTTCGAGAGTTTACGTTCGTCGTTTTACAGTGTCCGTGGTTCGGGTGGTACTTTGGAGCATGGTCACTGTTGTATCTGCTTGGGAGTCTTGGTTGTTTGTCGTTTGTTTTGGTGGCTCCATAGAGAGGGTCAAGGTTGCCACGAGTAGCCGGGAAGGCTCGGCGTCGCGGCCAACCTGCAGGCTGGTCGGTGTGACAATGTGTCTCGTCGCAGCCATGTTTACAACCAACGTTCGCAAAGCGGTTGTCTAGCATACATCCCCGTAGAAACACGGTTCGAAATCTGCAGCTACAGGTGGTGAAAATTTCTACCAGGTCTTCTCCGAGAGCCTTTGCCGCGGCCAATAGCCTTCTTCCCTTACATGTCTTTCAGCCATTTCACGTGTTTCGTCTATTGATTTCGTCCGAATTTCTCCGACTCGCGGAACAGATCGTGGAGCAAGTCCTGGTGGCCAAGCGCTACCTCGAGACCGTAGGAGACCCTAGCCCGGTCACCGGGGTGGTCTTTATGGGCATGGGCGAGCCTTTCGATAACTATGACAGGTGTGAGCACCGGCAGGGAGCAGCTGTCGCGTGTATCTACAAGATTTGTCCTTATCTCTCTTGGTTGTTGTAAAACAATCGTGATGGATCTGGCTGAAATAACCCTTTAAGCTGAGCTCGCAGCATTGTAGCAAATGTTAGCCTTCACTGACGATGTCACAAATGTCACCCTTCCCTGACAAGTGCGTGCGCCGGAGAGCAGTGGCGTGTGTCTGCAAGAGTTGTCCTTAGCTCTCTTGGTTGCTGTCGCGTGCACCGTGCCCTCTCGGTTGTTGCGCACTGATCGCGAGGGGTCTCGCTGAGTTTGTCCTTTAAGCTGAGCTCGCAGTATTGTACCTAACACGACCCTTCCCTGACCAATGATCGCCCAGGTCTTGTTTTCTACCACCCCTACACAACGCTGTTTGAGTGACTCCACCATGTGGTGCTGTATGGGTTCCTCCAGCGAACGTTTTGTGAACCGAATTGCGCGTTCAATCACTGGTGCGTGTGTAAATAGGATGCGTTCCGCATACTAAATGAATATTGGATGACGTCCACGTGTCTTCCTTGGGCCCCAGAGTGATGCGCGCGGTCAAAATCCTGACTGATCCTCGAGCCGGCGTGCGACTCAAGGCCAGCAGCGTCACGGTCTCCACGGTGGGGCTGGTCCCTCAGATCGAGAGGTTCTGCAAGGACCCCGCCAACGGGGCGAGCCTCGCGATTTCGCTCCACTCGGTCGTCGATGAAGTCAGGGATAAGGTTGGTCTCTCTCCTCTCTCTCTCTCTCTCTCTCTCTCTCTCTCTCTCTCTCTCTCTCTCTCTCTCTCTCCCTATCTATCTCTGTGTGTGTTTGTGTGTCTTTCTGTGTCTCTCTCTCTTTCTCTCGCTCGCTGTCTCTGTTTCTCTCTATCGATCTCGTGTGTGTCCCTTTCTCGCTGTCTGTCTCTCTCTTTGTTCTTCTCGTTCTCTATGTCTGTCTCTTGCTTCTCTTTCTATCTCGCTCTTTCTCCATGGTGCCTTTTTTTTGTGAGGGCTGTTAACGACGTTTGTTTCGTTGTCCTCTTTCTTTTGTTTATCCGGAGCATGGACAGAAGCAAAGGAAGGGCATCTGCCTGTACAGTATGTCTGCCCCCCCTCGTTGCCTTGTATCGCTGTTTGATTTATGTGTCCCCGGTGTCGTTCGTCGCTCGTTGGATGCGCAGGGTGGCATGCTGATCGCTCATTATAATGCCCTCATGCTAGACCCTTTGGTTTCTCGCTTTCCTCGAGGTAAAGCTAGGAAGCAACCAATTATATTCACAACCTTCGCCCACCTGCTGCACGCCCCCCTCCCTCTGTCGTTGCGACGGCCGCCGCAAACCTTCGGCCTGCAGCTCATCCCAGTGAACCGGCGCTACCCGCTGGAACAACTTTCCGAGACGCTCAGGACGCACTTCCCCCGGAGTTCGAAGCCTGCGGCGGATGAGCCCACGGGAGTGGCTCTCGACCACGCTTCGTCCGCGGCGGCTCCAGCACTAGGCCCGAAGGATGTCGCAACAGGTTCCGCTGAGAGAAAATCAATGGCAGGGCCTGGGAGGAAGTTGGAGCAGGAGACGAACCTGCTGGCACGAAGAGATGGCGCAGAGCGACGGCCCCCGTCGATCCCGACGGAGCCACAGCAGCGGCCACGATCACTGGCAGACGGCGGCGGGAGCAAGCGCGAGGGTCCTCAACGGAAGGGAAGGAGGAGAAGGCCACGGATCTTGGCCGTGGAGTACACCCTCCTCGGCGGCGTTAACGACTCCCTCGGGGACGCCGGGCGGCTGGCCGAGTGGCTGGAAGGGGTGGCCTGCGTGGTGAACCTGATAACCTTCAACGCCCACGCGGGGACGCCGTTCTCGCCTTCGTCCCCGGAGGCGGCGGAGGCGTTTCGGCGGGCGCTGGCGGCCCGGGGACAGCTGTGCACGTTCCGGGACAGCCGCGGGGATGACGGGATGGCGGCCTGCGGGTGAGTGTTCTACGCTTAAAGTGCTTGGGAACCGGCGTCTCCCTGATGGGGGGTAGGGTGGCTCGATCTCTCTGCCAGTCCTTCAACATTTTGCGTGCAATTGGTATTTGGTTGGGCGGTGACCGTAATTTCGCACGTGGGCGGGGGGAATTGTCATGTTTCGTTGAAGATTCGTATTGCGCACAGATGGTATGCATCGGGTTATGCGGTGTTTTTTTTTGTTTTTTGGGGATGGAGAAGGAATCGTAATGGTTGGTTGAAGAGAGGGGCATGGTGGCGATTATGAGACGGGCGATTCTTACAAAGAACATTGCAGCAAGCTAGCTATGCCTCTCTCACCCCTCCGTGTCTTGGGGAGGAGAAATGACGGCAAAAAAAGAAAAAAGGAAGGGATGTTGAGTTGGTGTTTGGTCTTGACAATGACGTGCCGTGATGATGATCGCCCAGTTCGCCCCTCTCTTCTCTGTCCTCGTCGAAAACGCGCCCACCCTTGCATCCCCCCAACGCTTTGCAGGCAGCTAGGCGGCGAGTCCATGGCGGGGGGCGGGGATCGCGCGAGAAAGCCTGTCCCCGTCACGTGGAAGTCAACCGACACGCCCTCGACAGCGTAGCGCCTAAGCTTTGGAATATAGATTGCCGCGTGCCCACGGCTGCTTCCCGAGTTGTTGGGGTTTTTTTCATCCAGTGTGGGACCAGCAGCAACAACAGTGTGCCCACAGCAGCGTGAGTGTCAACCGACACGCCCTCGACAGCGTAGTGCCCAAGCTTTGGAACATCGGTGTTCGAGAATGGGATCAGCCCGGCCGGGTAGAACCGTCAGCTGAAAGCACCGTATAGGTTTTTGCGGCCACAAGCAACGGTGAGGGTAGGGGTTGTACCCTGCTCTGCTGACTTTCTTTCCAGTGACTGTACTCACAAACAGTACCCGGAAGGCCTGCTGCTTGGTGGTCGCGAAAACGAGCGGACTTTTCCAAAGGAGTCTCTGTCGTGGTAAATCTGTATGCGAACGTTGAAAAACTTGCTGCTGGGGTTAGTTGTGGTGTCGTTTCCAGGAAGTGAGAGGGTGCCAAACGTGTGGGTGGTTTTCTGCAGCGGGAAACTGTTCATGATGCGGCAGGGTCCCCAACACCTTGGAGCACTCTTTGACTTGCTGGTGCATGCGGCGCCAGGACCAGGGTCAAGAGTCGATGCGCAGAAAGTCGAAACCGAAGAACAACTTTGTAATGCAGCTTTCTCGTGCGCTTGTCAAGATCATGGTTGGCTTTACATCAGCGGTACAGGACGAGGTACTTGTTGTCATGTTGCCCTTCTTCCTAGTAGTACAGAGGGGCAGGCATACTTAAGAAGGCTCGCGAAACACGATAAACAAAAAGAAACGGAAGCCATATCAAGAAAAAATGGGAAGCGTATAAACATTTGAACTGACATGGACATTGCGCGGCCTGGGCCATGACAAAAAACGGTTCGGTGATACAGTACGTAATGTTTCCCTCTCAAATCTCCGATTCTGAACTACAATATGGTCCAACGTAAAAGGTGGCACGTCCGCTGGTTGTTGACGGACAGGTCCAATAAATATGCGTCCCTGGTACACAGGGTGACCAACAGGGCTGACAAGGAAACGCTGCATGTAGGGGGACCATCTGCGCGCGAATTCTCGTCGCTACGGTACCCGCGCTCCCCCCCCCTGAATACAAACACCGCGTTCGGGAATCCACGGAAACCCGACAACTCGACACGGAACAAAAGCAAGCAGCAAACTGAACAATAATAACAAGGAGCAGACGGGACAAATATACAGGCTCTGTACACACGCGTTGACGTGATTCACGAACAGTAGAGGCACCGCAGAGCCGTCTAGACGGCAGCCTCAAGAAGCAGCACTTACTCAAGCGAGCTGGAAAAGCGTGGGAAGCAATAGTACTGCTGCTTGCAAGGGTTTGCTCGAGCGCAGATATGAATCATCTTCTGCTCATCCGTGCCATAGAATGCACGGAGCCCCCGGCTCTCTTTTTTTCCCCGTTGTATTCAAAGGAGAACGAAGCGCCTGGAGATGCAACCCTTTGCTCTAGGTCGATGACATGTGATCCCTGTCTTCGAAACACCACCGACAGCACTTCGTCCCCTCTCGCACTGCCGAACCCAAAGCCTCTACGACAAGCAACAAAAAATGGGCGACTTTTCGTTCTCCCCTGATCAGCGCCTTCTACATACGGGCACCCACTTTCGAAGAAGGATGTACCCTTTGCGGTGCTTGATTGACAACCTGGCTCCGCGGTTCTCCCTTCGGATACGTCATGGAGGAGGGGTGTTTGCACGGTTCGGCGGCAGTAAAGATCACCATGGGAGCTCGCAGAAGGGCCCGTAGCTTTCGGGGTCCTCGAGCGCGTAGACGCCCAGGCCTAGGCTCTTGCTTCCTTGGGGAGCGATGAATTTCCCCGTGGTCTCCAGAGTCAGGTCCTCCACGGCCTGCGCGCAACAAACAACGGGGCGATGGTGTCACCGGTAGTAGGGGGAGGGAAGAGAGGGGGGAGAGATAGATAGACGTGTGCTGGCGGGCCTTGCTTGCCTCCAGGTCGCGGTGTCGCGACCTCTCGGCAAGAGGACATTCAAGGGAGGAAGAGGAGATCGAATGGGAGGTGTAGCCGACGGTCGTTGCTCGTTTGCGTTAACGTCGGACCATCACGACCGGTGACCGCTCCGCGAGGGAACAAGGAGCTTGATGGTGGCTGCTCCGGGTAAGACGACGAGACTATGCAAAACACCCACAGGCGCGTTACCGATGCTGGATGATACACCTCATTGGGGGCACAAAACACCTACCACTTGCACTTCGTTGGAATCATCTTCCCACAACGCAACAAAACTCGGCTACCCCACAACAAAACCTCCAGCAAGCAGCACAAAAGGTGTGTTTGAATTCAGTGTAAAACTGGACTCTTCCCGTAATTCTTTGTTATTGGGTACGCCATGTACGCCATCGAAAGAAAAAAAACTCTTCCCCAGGTGCACACCTTTACTATGCCGGGCGCTGCTTCTTCGGGCCCGATGGCACCCAGTTCGTCGTACTTGTCGGCGTATATCTCGGTCATGCTCGTCTTCATGAAGCCGGGGTGGATGTTCACGATCGCCACACCGCGGGTCTTCACGTCCAGCGCGAAGAGCTTGCCCATCATGTTCTGAGCGCATTTACTCATGTGGTGCCTGCGGTGTTTTTTTTTTTTATTATTCGTCCGGTTCCCGTATGGCAACGTGTCGTAGGCGGAATAGAAGCCGGATCACCATTTACCGTGAAGAAGCGAGCCAACAACGCGGAGGGATTATTGTTATGACAAGAGAGTGATGAAAGCATGGTTGCACTGTTGCCAACCGACCAAAAACAAAAGACAAGAACGGGAGCAAGCAGACTGCCGAACAACCATTGCGTGCGTGTTGTTTGACAAGGCTTCGCCTTTTCTTCCTGTACCCCATGCATGTTTTAAGCAAAACGAGGATGCTCGTAGGAGAGAACACCTAAACGCTCTACCAAGCGAAAAACGAACCGCAAAGGCTACCGCTGTAGCGGCACCGCAGAAAATCCCTACCATTCTCGCCGTTGTGGAACCCCCGACAACAAAAAAAAGAGGAAATACTGGGTAGTTAGTCTGTGACCACGGAAGGCACCAGCGTCAGTTGAATAGGTCCCGGTGTGTAAGAAAGACGCCGAGCAGAGACCAGACCGGTTCTTAGCGCAACGCGCAAACAGCAACAACGAGCGCCTCGGGGGTATCGACCCTTCCTCACCCGTAGTTGTTCCCCCCCTCTACCTCCGTTCGGAGGCCGACCGACCCGCCTTCCGACGTGATCATGCCGATGTTCGATCCCTTCCGCAACAGTCCTGACACTACTAGAGCCTGGAGGACACGGAGGGGTCCGAGCACGCAAACCTGCCGGGTTCCAAACGAAAATTGAGTGCAGAAACACGGGGAAAGGGTAGGGGCGGGGGACGCACAGAGAGAGAGACATAAAAGAGAGGCAGAGAGACGCATAAGAGACACAGAGAGGGGGGTGCACGAGAAAGAGAAAGAGAGAGCAAAAGGAAGACAGACAGAGGGAGGCATAGAGAAAGAGAGAGAGAAGCAGAGACAGAGAGAGGGATGCAACAAACGCACCGGTGGCAAGGTTGGTGCTCGAGTTCATTCAATGTTCGAGCATGTATAACTTTGTGTGACGCGCCAAACACCACCATGTCGGCGAAATGCTGACCAGTCAACTGATCTCTCAGTACTTCAGGGCCATCGCCGTCGTCCAGGAGGCATGCAGAGAAGAAAGTGAGCACGTCTGTGTGTGTGCGGTAATGTTTTGCGGCAAGCCATCGCTGGGTGCCAAAAGTTGCCCCATCGCATACTTCCCTGTACATGTACTCGTGAGGATAGAGGGGGGGCAGGAGGTTTGATCAGTTTTACCCTCGGGGGTAGCTCGAAGCACACACTTCCCCACTCGTAGCTAAATCTCTGCTAAATTATCATGACCAGTCCAGCCCACATCCCATTGGGAGAAGATCGAGACAGAGAATTGCTTGTCGAGCCACTAGGGTTCGAGGGAAGTGAGTGGAAGGCAGCCAACTCAAAGAGGTAGGTGAGTGGGTAGCCCATGCGTACCTCGTACATCTTGACGGCCGCGTCGAACTCGGGGTCTTCGAACGTGTCGGGGATCAAAATTCTGTGCGTGAGAGGCACAATAGTGTGGGAGGGGGGACACGGAAGGGGAGGGGGTCATCAGGAGCAGATAATACAGCGGTGCGGCCGGCCGAATGTGAGACAACTTGATAAACCAATACATATATTCGCGTCAGCTAAGCCCGAAACACTCGCTTGTACCCACTCAAGAACTCGCGCAATCGTTGTAGCATTGGGGGCCAGTCAAGATCCTTGGTGCCAACACAATCCGATACTCCTTGGATCCCTGCAATCGTGCTAAACAATGCTGACAGTGAACGCGCGTTTCGGACATGGTGCACATGAAGACAAGCAAGCGTGTATCGGTTGAGGTCGCACAGAGGGATGGATGTTACCCCTTCAGCTATCTTGCGAGCGAGGGGTGCAGCAAGTCCTTTCCCTCTTCCTCGCCCACAGTTGAAGCCCAACACTTCCACCCGCTACAAAACCGCAAGGGGGCAAACGGAAGCACACACACACGGGGTCCCACACCATGGTCTTTAGAAGCATTTCCTGTTTCAACCGTACTGAGACTGGCGTATTTTCATTGGTCAGCCGGTTGACGCGGTCGATGTCAATCGTAAAATAACACGCACAAGACACGCAGGACGCACCCAGCGTTGCATATGACGTAGTCGAGAGTGCCGCCCTCACCCAGCTCCTTCTGCACCGCCTCCACGAGCTTGGTCCCGGAGTCCTTGTCGGAGACGTCGATCCCCTCGAGCACGCTAACCCCGACAGCCTGTTTGGCGGCACCGATCAGTTAGCACATCACGCCACCCACGGCAAGAAAAGAAGAGCCCCAATCATAATCTTCGAACGGGGAGTCTTTCGGTGTTGTTATGTTTTTACGCGCTTTTGTCCAAGAAACGAAGCTACGTTTCGGCGTGCTAAATAGGAGGAGCAAGGGGGGAAAGAAAGGAGGATGAGGAGGAGTTGGAGTCGTCTAGACGGCGGGTTGGGTCGGAGGAAGTCCCCGACCGGGCAGACGCACAAGACTTCCGTTGAAGTCTGATGAACACCACCACCAAGGGCCACGTTGAAGGTCATGCGGGGCGTGTGCGTTGTTGATGAACTTCGAGTTGCTCCTCTGGATGGATGTCGGCTTGATTGTGGGTTCTTGCGGCGAACGTTCGCATCGCTGGCTTCTGTTCGGGCGGTGTATCACGCACAGGATGGTTCCTCAAACGTACCATCGGTGCAAGGGCTAAACATGAAATCCGTTGAATTTTTTTTTCTTCGAGTGCAGATAGCCAAAAAAGAAAAAAAGAAGGGGGAGAGTCCGACCTCTTCATGCATCCTTGCCCAACTCGGTAAATTACCTCAAGATCGGCGTTGGTCGTCCTAGTGGTGGCCAGGACTGTACTCTCTCGCTTCTTCAGGTGTCGCACGACCTCCAACCCCAACCCGCGGTTCCCGCCGATGACCAAGCAGTTTCCCGGGAGCGGCGATACGGGGGGAGTCTCGTTGGTCGAGGAGGACGCCATAGCCCTGCTGTGATTCGCACGGGAGAACACGTACAGCAGCAGATGGCGTTGGGTATCTCGTGGATGCACTGAACGGTGCGCCAAGTCAACCAAGGCAGTGAGTGCCTGTCTGCCCTCCAGCCCGAAGATCGGACGACGATCATGCGCGCCTGACCATTGAAAAAGCTTTCATAAAGGGAGAATCTGTCTGGGTAAGTTGGTCTACTGCAGGAGCTTTCCCAGCAAGGGGTACGGGAAAATATCCGCGGTGATGTTCGTCGGTGGGTCCGAGTTATGGACGTCAGCGTATCGCCCGGCGTACTGCTGTAGTCATCACACACCCTTTGATATGACACACGAGTCTTCGTATTCCGCTAAACCACCCTTCTTTTCAGGATACAGCAGTAGTGGTCCCGGTATAGTGCTGGTGCGGTCGAGACGATGTCACCGGCATTATAGCAGGCCACCCGCATTATGTAAAGTTGGCCTGAATATTGTGCCGGTTCTGGCAATATTCAGGGTCCGCAATAGTGCCGGTACCGGGGCTACTCAGGAAATCATCGAGTAATTCAGGACGAAAACATGATCGTACACCGGCGTATTGTACAAATACACTATGCATCACGTGAAAGGGAAGAAAGTGGATGCCGTAGCAGGAGGTTTGGTAAGCCTGTCGCGGTCGAGCATCATTCAGAGGCGCGTGCATCGATGGGCCGTGGCCCAACACTCATCATATCTTTGGGTGTGCTGCAGCACCTTTTGGTGTGTTGTACACAGCAGCGTTAGTGAAAAAACTCCTGTTGACGTGGTGTTCCACCCTAAGTTGTTACCTTGACCCGATGCCTCTCCTTGACTCGCGAAAGTACACATGCGACAAAATAGACATGGCATATCGTAGCGCAAACATCGGGAAAGAAAACAAAGCAAAGACCCAACAACATCTATTTGAACACACTGACTCATTCTTGTAACTAGCAACATCCGGGAGACGTCCATCTGAATGAACCATTTTGCGAAACTGGTCCCGCCTACGTTACATGCCCCCTCCAACCAGAATATTGACAAAGTTGTACTGTACCACACAATAACCGACGAATAGACAATGTCAGACTGCTGGTGTTGTCGTTCCATGAATAGGTGTTATCAGATTCGACACATCAAACAATACAACTCAAACACCATTTTTGGGACACAACCCGTACCTGGTACTGAAGCAAGAACATGACCGCGCACTACTGGTACTGAGCCATATTCAAACTTAGCAGCATTGCTCTGCGGCCCTTTATCAGATCTTGTCAAAGGAGCCGGCTATGTCTGCCTGTCGGGCTAGCATTGAGGCATGACCTGCGATAATCGCCATCTTGGTCTTCTTGTTCGGCCGAGAAGTTGTGTGTGTTGTGTGTGTTGGTGTGCGCTGTGTGCGCGAGCAAATGGGTTATATATATTACTCATACTCATAAAATCGCAGAAAGACTAGGCTACTGTACATGTCGAGAGACAACCACAGTCGAAGGGGGGGTGTTGAAGTCTATGCAGTGAGTGGGAGAAAGACCGGCTGGATGCAGGCTTACTTTCAGTCCATTTAAGCCTTTACAACGTGAGATTTTTCTTGAAAACCGGCATCATTCACGGACCAGAGAACCCCCAAACCGGCACTACAGTGGCATTTGCCTCTATAATGCCGGTACCGGCATTATACCGGGCTACAGCCGGTCCAGCCGATTTCACCGGCATTTACCGGGCGACCGGCATTATTCGACCGGCATTATACCGGACCACTACTGTATGCATGTGTACTAGCATGCGAGTCAGATCGCACCAGCGTATGTACGCAGGATGACAAGCAACACCCGTTGCAATTACTCTCTTCTTACGAATCTACCTGCTGACGAGGGATGGGCGGGATCTCAGCTGCTATGTGGTGGCATAAACGTATCTTGCTGCAATCGACTAACGAAGACGGGAGGAGAAACCGCCCACGATATCGGTCTACAACAAGGGCAGAGCGTCAGACTCCTCAATATCATGATCTCCAAAGCGGCCCCAGTTGTACCTACAATTGCCGACCATTGACAGGGTACACAAATGGACAGGTACTACTAGACAGGCAGCCGCACAACATGGAGCGCATTTGACTGCATTCAGCGGGTCTCCCTATGGTGTAGCAGTAGTATCCTCGACGGACATGCAATCGACACGCTGAAAGATTACTGTATGCGGAAGTGCTGGCTCTATCTTGAGGTTCGACCTCTAACAACATGCCGGTGTTCACACGCTTGTGACCCCACCTGGCACCCACCACCGCCGTCGAACCGATGCGTTCGGTCAAGCCAGGAGCCATGGGTGTGCTGCTGGGGTGCTGCCCTCGAGGGTATGGAGTAAACGCGCCGGGGGCTGCAGCAGGGCTACTCCAAAGCACAAACGATGTTGAAAGCTGAGCGAAGGCCAAGACGACTACTACAGCACTCCGTAGGGCCGTGCGAGCCATGATATACCCCCCAGATCTTGAAACGACTGCAGCCTATGTGCCTCGATAGCCGACTCACCCGGGTGGAGTGGAGAGGATGGTCGAGGGATTAGGGACGGAGGGGAGAAGTGATGAGAACACACTAACTGGCAAACTGCTGTAGACACGATGCGGTGGAATTGTTGAAATTGTTGGCAGACCCCGAAAAACGATTCCCCTCCGCTGGCCCCCCTCCAAGCAGATCTTTGTGCAGTTGAGCTGGCTGACACAAACCAGCACACGAGCAACAATTGCCCGACCTGCTGCGTAGGACCACGCAGCAGCGACGACATACCTCTCCCTCTCGCACACGCCTCGCACAGCGGATTATTCTGCGTGCATCTGTTGTGCTCTCTGCGTGCGGCAAATAGTCGACAACAATCGCAGATCGCCATGAGAGCGAAGAAGGCAACCACACTGATTTCATTCCTCGCTCCTTCAGCGGCCTTCAGCTTCTGCGTTCTGCCTCATCGAAATGCTCAGCATGCTCAGCAGCAGCAGCAGCGATGCACCATGAGCATCTTCTCAGACCGGCCGACCCAGGGGTGCACTTGCTCCTCTGCCATCGACCCCAAACGCGGAGGAAGAGGGCGTGCGAGGTTGTCCGACAGCAGGCCATCTTGCAGTCAGCACGTGGTCATGGCAGCGACTGCGGGCAAACCCGACACGGCAGCAGCGGCGGCGACGACAGGCGACACTCCTGCTGCGGCGGCGGCGGGCAGCAGCAGCAGGAGCAGGAACCCACGTCAGAGAGTTTCCAGGGCGATAAACCGCGCGCTAGGGAACGTCTTAGCCACGGGGGACATGTTCGGGAGCGTTAGCAACGGCGTGTCCAATGGTAAGAGACGGCGGCGGTGTCCTGTGAGCGATGAGACTGAATTTCTTTTTTCAAGTTGAACAGCAGCAGGAAACGAATCCCGACGGTTGATTGCACTTCCAGCACCCTATGCGCACACCAGTACTACCAATGGCCCCGCCGCCGTTCGGCTGCGGTTTACAGCGTGCGCAGGGGGTAGCTGTAGCAGCAGCAGGATCAATCGGACTGTTACCTGCAATTTGCGGACCAAAGCTTCGATGCGTTGTGTGGTTGAACCGTTTCATTCGGAAAACCAATCCATATTGAGCGTTACAAACCAGCTGTTACAACACCTCATTTCCTTGCGCCCATAACCCACCACCGCCACTTGTCGCGTGCGTCCCTCTGGCGGTAGACAATCCTTTCGGAGGGCACTTCACTTCGGCCGTCGGCCAAGAGGATAAAGACGACGGCAGCACCGAGGAGGAGGAGGAGGAGGAGGAGGAGGAGGACATAGAAGAAGAAGGAGGGCACGGAGACGCGGAAGATCTGCCAGCAGCAGGGGGCAACGGACTCTCGCCCAGAAAATTCCGGCAAGAAGAACGATGGTATTCACGGCTGCTGCTGTTTTCAAAATTACTTAGGTGTACCTCCGTTGCAGCAGGCCAGCAAAGCGGCTGTACACCGGAAACCCGCCGATCACGTGCACTTGGTCACTCGTGTCCAAGCCGGTCTCTCTCCCCCCCCCCCCCTCATCTCTCTGTCCGTCTCTTCCCTCTCTCTCTCTCGCTTTCTCTCTTTCTCGTCCTATGCCGTATCTGCTGTACCTCAACAATGTGCCATGCCACAACCATGATATGTACGGACACAGGAAAAGCAGCAGCAGCAGCAGCAGCGAGAACCGGCTCCTTCGAGCGAACACCGGGGCCTCGGCGGCCGTTGTGGTTGACGGGCCCTTCTCTGACCTGCAGGCGTACATGACTCTCCCCGTTTCGGAGTACAGCCTGCTCGACAGCAGCATCATACGGCGGGTTTCCGAGACTTCGTTTCGATTCCAGGTGCGTAGCCGAGAACGCGGTGAGATACCCATTCGCGACAAAATATGTCACACCCCGTAGACCAGACCGATTTTTAAGTTCTGTATAGTATCGGAGACCTTGCAGTTTATCCGAGCAGGAAGTAGGAGTACATGCGTACTGGTAAGACATGTTTCCTGCAGAAGAAAACTAAAGGTTGGGCTCAGGTGCCAATAGATTTGTTTTCTTGTGTATTGTATGCATAGTGCGGAAGGAATGACAGCAAATGCGGATGGCGCACTTTCCCTCTCCGCGCTTTCCCCGGACAGGGGGCCAGCAGCACGGATTGATGGAAAGTCTACGCCAAGCCATATGACTCACTCATCGATGGGCATATGGGCAGAGCATTCGTTCCGGGTCTTTGGTGACTGCTGTCTGTCGCAGCAGCTAAATGTCGCATTCTTTATTCTGTAATCTTGCGCCACCTTGCCGAGAAATGCGTTGAATGCAACGCGAGAACGTTGCTGCCACCCTTTCTGCCTCGCCGCCGCCGCTGCCGGTCGTGCTCCCTGGCGCTGGATCCCACTGGCCCCTTCCTGTCCCCGCACCTCTTTCCGATCCTCTTACCTCTGCGCGCGCTCCGCTTCCCGCCCATCAGATACCCCTGAAAGACTTTGTAGGCCTGGACTTTACGCCGACCATGGAGGTCGAGGTCGAGCTGGACCGCCCGGCCGGGGCTGTCGTCTTCCGGTCGACGCGCTCGACGCTGTACGGCAACGTGGGGAAGCCTGGCGAGGAAGGTGAGGGCATTTTTCTTGGAATTTTGCGTCTGCTGCTGTCCCGTGGGCACCGGCTGACCAACGAAAATGCTTCGGTCTTGCACCGGGATAACAAACACGAGCAATCTGTGTGTGTCTTTGTGTCCAAGAGCCGTCTCACGTGGCACTGACCTCGTAAGCCGAGCTGCTGGACACGTTGATGAGCTCATGCTGGTAACCTCTGTTTTCCACCCACCGACCTTCTCTACCCCCACCACCAGCCAGCACCAACCCCTGGCCAGAGGCGGGGTCCAGCCAGGTGGAGTACTTTCGAGTCGGATTCGACGCGCGCCTTAGGTGGGTCGACGGGGATGCATCCCTAGCGCCTCGACGGCAGAGAGGCAGGGGGGGATTCGCCGGGACTTTCGCTCGCCGCCCACGGCCAGAGGCGGAGCCGGCACCGCCGCCTGCGGCAGCGGCGGCTGGACCGGGGGAGGACGCAGATGGCGGCGGAGAGGCGGCAGGGGGTGTTGGTGATTCCCGCGGCGGCGGTGGCGTAGTGGCTCCACCGGCGGTGCCCGCGGGCGAGGCGGAGGCCTCCTCGGTGGAGCCGCCAACGGACGGGGAGCTTGCGGCGGACGTGGAGCCGGCGACGGTGTTTTGCGACACGGAGATAAAGGTCCAGGTGCTGCTGCCGCCACCCTACAACACTTTGCTGCCGTGGCGGCTCGTTCGCGTCCTGCTGGGGAAGCTGCTGTCGACCATCGTCGCCTACATCCTACCGAGGTTTTTGGAGGTGAGTTTAGTGGCTGGGGTGGGAAGAGAGGAGTGAGCAGAGGGCCCTGGTCAGTGCTGCAGTAGTGCAGGCAACTGATTGGGTACGGCGAACGCTACAATAGCAGTAGGATATGTAAGGTTGTGTCAGACCGACGCTTTGCCTCTGTTAAGCGCAATCCCTTTGAATGGACGAGCGGTGTCGGATGTCGGATCTCCCCTTTTGGAAGGTTGGCATGTTCTTCTCCTCGCCCCTCGTTTCTTCATTTTTATCACCACCGGACATGGCCGCCGCCGCCGCTTTCGCTGCTTCTCTCGCAGCTGTTGAGTTGCTTGGTCGACCGCATGTGTTCGTTTTTCTTATCCTACTCTCTTCAAAACGGTTGTCAACGACCGCTGCTTTTGTCCGCCCTCTTGCCGAACAAACCAGTTGCTTGCAGACGACTTCTACGGCTGGCAGTCGGGCACCCGGCGTGCGGCGGCCACGGCGGGCGAGACCGGCAGGACGCTCTTGGGCGGCACCGGCGGCGGCGGGATCGGAGGCGGGATCGGAGGCGGGATCGGTGCCCGAAGAACCTTCCCTGCGGTAGGGCAGCAAGCAGGCGCCCAGGGTAGTGCTGATGCTCCAGACCAGCAGCGAGCCAACGAAGGAGCAAGATGGCGTGGCGATGGTGGCGATAGCAACGAAAATGCCAACAGCAGCAGCAACATTCGCAATCCGGTTGTCGGGGGGCTGCAGCGTCTCCGCAACGTTCGGGGGCCTGGCGGCGACCGAGGGAGAGGGAGGAGGCAGCAGACGCCGGGTGCGGAGGCGGCGTCGGTAGTAGGCGAGGATGCAGCCTCCGCGGCACCGGCATCGTCTGCCGCAACGATGCGACCACCGACAGCGGCCGCTTATGCGGACGGAGCCCCCCGTCCGGGAGAAGAAGGTTTTCCGGTGGAGTCGGTGGTCTCCTCTACTACTGGTTTGTCCGGGGATGAGTTCAACTTCGAGGTTAGCGTTCAGGAGGAGGAGGCGGGGGAGGGGGAGGGGGAGGGGGAACGAGGGGGTGGGCAGCAGGGCCGGCGACGCGGATGGAGGGGGGGCAGGAACCGGGATGTTGGTGGTGGTGATGGTGGTGGTGGTGGTTCGGTAAACTGGTGGGGTTAAAGGTGTTGTGGTTGTCATCGTGTCCTTGTGTTGACTGTTCTTGGGGGGGGGGGCTCCGTGAGGGGGGGTTGGTTCTTGAAGACATCTCGGGTTGATTCCCGTGTGTCATTCTCTCCAAAACGCCCCCCCCCCCCCCCCCCCCCCGGACGGTCTTGCCTAGAGACCCCCACCTGCCCCCGAAGCTTGCTATCTTGTATTCGAGGATGAGCATGGACAACAACGAAGACGTCACGGGCCACCCCCTGCCGTCCATCAACCCTGACCCTCCTGCTGCTAACGTCTTCGTCTATTCCAGATCTTCCTCTCCTGCCGGCGTTTCCTAACCGGAAGTTTTTCTCT